TGTGGATCAGTGGGGGATCAGTGTGGGATCAGTGTGGGGTCAGTCTGGATCAGTGTGGATCAGTGTGGGTCAGTGTGGGGTCAGTGTGGGGTCAGTGTGGATCAGTGTGGATCAGTGTGGATCAGTGTGGATCAGTGTGGGGTCAGTGTGGATCAGTGTGGGTCAGTGTGGGGTCAGTGTGGATCAGTGTGGATCAATGTGGGGTGTTAGTGGGGGATCAGTGTGGGGTCAGTGTGGATCAGTATGGGGTCAGTGTGGGATCAGTGTGGGATCAGTGTGGGGTCAGTGGGATCAGTGTGGATCAATGTGGGGTGTTAGTGGGGGATCAGTGTGGGGTCAGTGTGGGGTCAGTGTGGGATCAGTGTGGGTCAGTGTGGGGTCAGTGTGGGGTCAGTGTGGATCAGTGTGGATCAGTGTGGATCAGTGGGGTGTTAGTGTGGGATCAGTGTGGGGTCAGTGTGGATCAGTGTGGGGTCAGTGTGGGGTCAGTGTGGGGTCAGTGTGGGGTCAGTGTGGGTCAGTGTGGGGTCAGTGTGGGATCAGTGTGGGGTCAGTGGGATCAGTGTGGATCAATGTGGGGTGTTAGTGGGGGACCAGTGTGGGGTCAGGGTTAGTGTCTGTCTGTAACACTCTGCACTGATCCGAGGTCTGTGTTAGGCTCCGCCCCTCAATCGTCTGCTTGTGTTTGCAGGTGGAAGGCAGTGACGCGTGCTCTCAGCCGGAGGATCTGGTAAACTCTGCTGCTTTACTGCGGTTACTGCCACCATACAATACTGTCTCACACACACACACGCACACACACACACACTCACAGACACACACACACGCACAGACACACACACAGACACACACACACACATGCACAGACACACACACACACATGCACAGACACACACACACCTGTGGAGCAGAAATGTTAATATTAGCATGGCTCGGAGTGAATAACAGGCTGACTGCATCATGGCTAAGCTTGAGCTTTGACCTCAGCAGCTGAACACCGCACTGCACCATCATTCAGCTGTGCCATCAGCTGCTTTCAGTATTTGTCTCTGTGTGTGTCTCTCTTTCTCTGTGTGTGTGCACGCAGCGAGTGTCCGGTGTGTCCGACAGCTGGTGGTTCTCGATGCTGATTCTGCCGCCGCTGTTTAAGGGCAGTCCCGCCGGGCCGCTGCTCAGGGCGTATTACCCGGACTGTGTGGGCATGAGCCCGTCAGCGGAGCAGCGGCACAGAGACCAGCAGACCTGTGAGTGTTTACTGCACACACACACACACACACACACACACACACACACACACACACACACACGGGCTATAGATGTTCTGTTTTATAGTAGTATCTTTAAATCTACACTGCAGTGTGTGTGTGTGTGTGTGTGTGTGTGTGTGTGTGT